GTTTCCACATAAAGGTCCCCACACGCGGTGGCGGTAGCGATTTTTATCCAGTATAAACATAATATATTTATATATTACATACAATAACTGTATAGTTAGTTAATTAAATTAAATTCCTATGTCATTGATAAATTGAAGATTTATTTATATAGTACGTCAGTAAGTACTATATAAATACTTCTACTATTTTACATATCATATTCAATATATATATATATTATTGTATTGATTATTTTTATATGAATTATTTTTAATTAAGTTAAATAATATATTAAACTATACTATACTACTATAACTTGAATAGTTTCTAGAAAATAATCCAAGTTTAGACTAATATACAAGCCCGGCTCAAGTGTTTAACCAAACATAGGCGAAATTTAGTTTTTGCCGCCCCTTACGTGTAAATATTTTATCAAATATTTTTTTTTCATACATAAAAATTGTCCAGGAAAAATGCCGCCCTAGGCGTGGGCCTATGTCACCTACCCTTAGAGCCAGGCCTGCTAATATACACCATATATATTAAATAGTATAGATACTATTAGCGTATATTTGATAAGTCAATTGAAAATACCGCTGAACGGTGGCGGTAAAATCAAGCATGCTGCGGTTTTTATAAATATCGCAGCGGCGATATTTTACCGCGGCCGAATTACCGCCAGCATGTGCGGACTCCATTACAATACGTGTGTACAAATTTAACGCCACCGCCACCGCGGCAGTATGTGGGGACCTTAAAAGTAGGTACAGTCATATTCTACAAGTTTCTAAAATTTAATAATATAATTTGGGTATTTATAAATCGTTTGCCTAAATGACTGGGATAATTAATAACCGGTTTCGACAATCGGTGCGGTACTGTGCGCGGCGTGGGGAGTATGTACGGTTTTAGAATGCTGCCGCTGCAACCACGAGAGCAGCACTAGACGATTGTAAATATGAATCAAAAACATGTATTAGGAGAACAGCTCTCATTTAATTTACAATGAACGTAAAGAAACTAAACTTTACCTAAATAAAGATGACAATATTATCTGTGTTAGTATGTTGGATATAACCGATAAGTCAACTCAGTCAGTTTATATGATGCAAAAAATATTGCAAAAACCTAACTTCTTACACAGGTAATAAAAATGAATGTATTATAGCTATCGAAAAAAACCAACGTAAAAACACGAATAATATTGTCATACTTATGTTTGCAAAATTTGATAATTGTACGACTACTGTAACCCAAATGAGAGCTATTCTACTGGAACATGTATTTTAACGGAAAATACGCGAGTGTTACGCGCTCTTAACTATATTTAATCAAATTGATGTAAAAAACCGGTTTCAGCTAAACAAAAGAAAATTGCCGCCAAATATTCTACACGATTTGTGTATGGTATTCTGAAACTAATAATGGTCGCGGTATTATGCACTGTGACGTAGCGTATAATTAATGTTTTATTACAAAATTAGTATTAACTTGTTTAATGAACGAATAGAGGTATACAAGTTCGATAATTCTTTGATATTAAAAACTACGTTTCGATTTAAGTAATTAATTGATTAATTTTTATAAAATCCATTATGTATTGTAAAACAGTAGCATTTAATTAAAAAAAAAATACGTAAATACAGTTTATTAACCTGCAATTGTTCAACTCTTTTGTATAAAAATATATAAAATAATACATATACACTCATATTAATCGTGTAGAAAAAAAAATAGTTTTTATAATTTCATTGTTATTTCCGGTTAGTAGTTATTGCAACACCATGCCAATTAAAATCGTCTAACATCCCACTGGGCTTATTGTTATAAACTATTAAATGTATGTCTCGTATACTACCAGTTTGTTTTATGAATGAAGTAGAAAACTACAAATGAAATATATACGCGCGAGCGGAAAATAGAATGAACACAGATTAGAATTTTATGTAGTAAAAGAAATGAACTATATCGATATTATAAAGATGATATTTAAGAAAATTAAATTTTTAACAAGGAATTACTTAAGAAAACCAATTTGCGTGTAAGATTGATTTCATTCAAGTGTCAAGAAATGAATCGCTATTGTTATTACGAGGAAATGTTAATAGATAAAATATGCGCACGAGTTTAATTATAAAATATTGATATAACAACCAGTTAGTTTTAGTCAAACGATAATTAAAACAAAAGTTAATTTTCTTTTCGCGAGCATTACAGTTATTTATTGTTGTTCGGTTTATGCGTACCTACGGCACAATACAAACGCAGAACGGGGGAAAAAACCGGAACGATAAGAGCATACAACGGCTGCGGTCAATAATTGTGTCATTGAAATCATCATCGGACGGGCTTAGCGCGATCGTTTCGCGAACGACACCGAAGAGAACGGTCGTAGTATAAGGACGACACGGTTTTCGCGAGCGATATTTAATAACATAAAAATAAATTCTGCGTGCGACATCAGTTCATGATAATCGTCGTCGTACAAAGTAACGCGACAATAATGATGTGTGCATAAATTAACATAGTCCAACACACACTGCAGACGGCGGCCGTAAAAAAATAACGCACATGATGGGTCGCGTTGTATTACATGAAAATACCCGCACACACACATGTATGCCGCGTGGGGGCCCCGACGACGATCGAAAACGAAAGTGGTAAAAGAAAGGGAAACGACCGTTTTGTTCCGGCGTCGGCGCCGAGCATGAGACGATCATCGCAACGAGATAAGTTCTGGTCGTTTTCGGCGGGAAAACTGTCCAAGGCGATTGAGACGAGAAGACAACGGACGAAACAACAATAAATAAATAAAGAACAACAACTAACGAACGCTGGAGAAGTGTGTTAAGGACCAAAGACCAAAAACCAATGTCGTGTCCTTGATCCGTTCTCCTGGTCGTTGCGCGCGCGCACGGACGCGCGCCAATACAAGGGCGTCGGTTCGGCGATTTTATATATTTCGGCCAGCGTCAAGGCCGGTCATCATATCTACCGAATCGCGCGCGCCCCACCGACCGTTATGACACACACTCGTCCGTCGCCACAACGTTTCCGTTCCTTTGTTGCAGAAAATTCGTTGCCGATATGGAATAACAAAGAATAAGAGAGAGAGAGAGAGAGAGAGAGAGAGAAAACAACAAAAATAATAATCAAAACAACGCGCACTACACCGATGTGTACAGAAGAAGAACGTGAATAAAAACGCAACGTCATAACAACGGTTGGCGGGAAACACGAGGAGGCGAAAAAAGAAAACGCACGCGATTTTCTAACTTCTAACGACGCTTTTATTCCTCCGGAACGAGTATTACCCAAATAATGATCGTGGGTAGAAGAAAATGTTTTAGTTTTATCCAATTTATATTTCTTCGCCCAAGGTGTTATGCGACTTTTACGAAGTTGTTTACGGAAGAAGAAAATGAATGATTGCCGCCGTAGAAAAACGAGTGTTTCCACAAAACTCGAGAGTAAAAGGCCGCGGCGGAGAGGAGCTGGATTAGAGGCATCCGTCCACGTTGTAACGTTGTTGAAACTTTGGTAAAACTGTTGAAAATCACAACATTCTTCGGATTACTATCGGATCAACCACACATTCTGCATATACTAACATAATAAATAACGTCTTTCAATTATTTTTCGAAAACTTTTACTTTCGATCCAACAATGAAGAAATGTTTTTTATTTCCCCCTCCTTCGTGTACACACCAACCACAACAATAAATGAGAGTTCAAACTTAACAAATTGCATGCAAGACGACAAATAATATAATTTCAATAATATTATGAATTTTTATCTTAATAGACATCTCGAACGCGTCACACATTCCACAAGGACAAACGGAAACTATATTATAATATAATACACAGCAGAGGATGACCCAACCCGAAATGTAAATACATCACTTCGTTTAAAAGATACGGGCTGATTTTCTATTGACTATTCTGTGTCTAGGTTACGTGTAATAATTCCCAAATCCTATATTAAAAATACATTCTACGCGGTTAAAACGGCATCACTTGTCGCACGCATAATTTAATATACATATATAACATATACGCACGCGCTATAATACATTTAATTTTTGTAATAAGTACATTTTTCGTTTTAATAATTTTTCTTTTTTTGGTTTACATCATTTATTTACATATTTAAATTATCACCATCAATATTTGTTCTTTTTTGCACCATGATCACCATATCGACCGACGTAATTTATATTCATACATATATATACAGTTTAAAAAAATACAAAGAAACAAGAAATATAAACATATATTCCCTACCGAATTCAGGTGCATACACTATTTTCCTAATACGTAATACTAAATGTCAAAATTGATCTCTCCATTAAATAATAAATACGAAATGAATATTTCGATATCATTGTAAAAATATTTAATATTAATTAGGTTAGTAAATATCTACGATTTTAGTTTCTATAACATTTTGATTAATGTTAAACTTTTTGAATGGAAAATAAACGTTTTATAATTCACTAATAGTTTTCGATTAGACTAAAAACGGATATGCAGATGATCCTGCTAGGTGGTAAACATTAAAGTCAATTTTGACGATAAAGTGTTGTGCATTATCATATTTTCATTCAGATTGACTTTCATGTTGTAATAAATTAATTATGAAATTGTGTTTAGTGAGTAGAATGTAGACCCTATCCTTAATCATGATTAATATTATAAACATAACATTAAATCCCGTTTTATTTGATAAATATATAATTTGTGGATGGGAACTAAATATGAATTCCCTGATAGCAGATCTTTTCGGTTTCAAAATTACTTAAAATTATTCAGTTTAAGAATATTTAATTTAACACTATATTTAGATTTACATGATAAAATATATGTTAGGCAGTAATTCAAATGAAAAGGACAAAATTTCATTGAAAAATTATGAATCCCAAAAAAGCATAGAGTTAATGGTTGGTGATCTTACATAATTTAAATTTTGTTGAAAAGGATTCTAATTATATTACTTTATTTAAATTATTCGACTTACCACATCACAGGTAAGCCACATCATATGTACTTCTTTAAACCGCAGAGTCACCACAGGTACATCAGACCCATTCACTTGAATTCTTTGTTCTTGGAAAAATTTACTTTTCTGTTTGCCTCGCATCAGGTAGATCTGTATGGTCCTATAATAACATAAAAGTAAAAATCAGGAGGCAATTTCGAAAACAATTATGATCAATCAAAAGTGAATGCAATTAGTTGAATTAGTTGATTTCAATTATTTTCTCATTTCCATTCCAACTAAAAAGACGAAAAACAAAATAGGAATATTTAAGGAATTTTAGATTTCTGAAGTACAGAACAATATTATCCTAAAGTATACAATTAGTTAATACTTTATTTACATTCAAGCTTACTAAAAAAATGTTTATAGAAAAAGCAACATTAAACATTTTAACATACCTACATTTGTAACTATGAAAATGATTCATACACTAATATATACACAATTTTTTTTTTTATTGAAAATAAATGCCTCGGCGGCTGTGGTCATTGGCTTTACAGAGTATTTACAGTATTCACATAAATTGTGCAGGTAATTTATGATTATTTGTGTAGTATTCTGAATAACTTTTTTATTTTACCCAAATTCTAAGATATAAAATAGAAACTCAAACAGCTGTGCATATCAATTTAGAAGTCAGGTTAAGTTAGGATAATAAACAATGCTTATGAATAACGTGTATAATAACGTATACTTATAAGAATAATATAGCACGTCTTTCAGCTCCGTAATATTAATAAATTAATAGTAATATTAAATTACTCGAAATACATTTTCAAAAAATAATTAGATGTTACCCAACTTGATAAGTATAATAATGTATAGTAATTATGTAGTGTGTTTTATATGAGATGTACAAGAATTTTCTTCTACAGTAAAAAATATGAATCCAAAAATTCGACCAATCGATATAAAACATTTTAAAACTCACATGATAAATATTTAAGGCAAGACACAAAAACTCACTATCTCTGTCGATTGTTCGATTGTTTACCATGAAAGAATTTATATGTGATCACACCTAATCATCTTACTAATTACTAACCAAACGACAAGATAGCAGGAAAATAGTGTTACATTCAAATACACGTCGAATAGACAGAACTACTCGTCAAACAAATAATTATTATTACGATTATGTTACTTTTTTTCAATCGATCAATTAGACATATTTTAGTTACAAATTGAGTATTACGTATCCCACGAAATTCGGTACGATCTCCAGTAGAATATAATACAAGTAAACAGGTTTTTTTTTTAGGTTGTTGGCTTACAAAATATAAAACAAATAACGAGTGCACGAAAAAAAAAAAAAAAGATAAATATTCCGATGGGAAAATTGTTAACTGTGTAAACAGGTGATTTTTATGAAAGGTTATCCACACACCTGTAAACCTAAAACATTCAATAAATACGATTTTTTATTGCACCTATTGTTGCATTATAATTTTTAACAGTTTTATAATTATAATTGCTTTTATTTGAACATCGGTTTTTGTTTTACGAACCATAAATCATACAGCACCGGGTTACTGTTTTCCGTTTAAGGTTAAGGAACCGAAAATAATACACAGTCGAGTGAGTTGATACAGTCGTTTCGAACATAAACGTACTCGTATACGGGTAAAAACATACGAGTAAAACAACCTAACAACGTAACAGTTTCACGTTGAATATTTGAAAACTATTACTGATCACCACATACCCTTCGTACTTCGTTTAACCGGGGGTGGTGATATTTGTGAACTTGTGTCGTTTCGTTTTCAAGTTGCATGCAAAGTTTGAAACAATCGTTGCGGTCGACAACATTGCGACGGCACACTGCGAACCGTTAACAATACAACGACGAGGGACGGAGGAGAACCAGAGGGGTACACAAAAAGCAGTGTAAACTTTTTTCAAGCAAAATAAACGATAATTTAGGGGAACCAAACACTTTGTCGGCATCGTTAGAGCGCAACGGAAAAATTACGACATGGCTGCCGGCACGACGACGACGACGACGAGGAGGCTAAACAGAATACAACAGAAATATTGTTTTACGACCGTTCTACACGTAATTGAGAGGTAAGGACGCGGATTCATATATTACTACAATTCCGTAATGGCTGATGGATGAAGAACTGACGTTGGCCATGTTATTCGTCGAATTCATTGCATACCCTCGTTCAAAATTTGTAATAAGACCGACTCGTAGTCGTCGAATATTTATCTTTCGAGAATAAACATCATAGGACGTTATTTCCTTCAACGAAAATATCGAACTCCGTAGCTATTGTTCTATCAAAACGAATGATAGGTTATAAGCAGTGTTTAACGAATAAATAAACTCAAACAATGGAAAAATAACACGATAAAATGACAAGTAATTATACTAAAAATGTAATATCTCAATTTCGAATGAACATCACCCTGTTCTACAATATTATTAAATTATAATAATTTATAAATTTATCAGGATCGATTATTGTTTATATAAATTTTATATATTATTTCATTATACTAACAAATTTTCATTGGAATACCGAAATCACAGTAAAAGTAATAGATACGAATGTTTTTTCATAGTTATAGGTAAGTATAATTTAAAAAAACAATCGCGAATCAAAATGCAAAACAAACAAAAACTTGTTATTTTACAATTTACATTTTACAGTTGTTATCCTCTGTGACATTAAAAGGACAGACGCTTTCTCCAATGTTTTTTACTCAATTAGCGCAGTTTAAACGTTACATATTATCGGCGAGTACTTTCAAACGATTTTCGGGTCGATGATAAAATTTCGCAATGATTTTTTTTTTTTTATCACTCGGTATAGTAAATTCCTTTTTCCATCCGTTGTCGGGACGTTGTACAACATAAACACTGTTAAGATTTTACGACGTATTATACGATAAATTCATAATACATATAATGCGTACACATATATAATATATATTTTATGAGTTACGCTACGTTTGTGCGTAAGTGTAAACGTATACACAGACGCAGCTGCGTATATGGATAAGTGCAGACGATGTTTCACGTCTCATCCATTTTGCACAATCGTAAAAATATTTCTTAACTATACGGTTTTGTTCTCAGAAGAACGTTAGACCGTGATGGTCTACTGCGAGAGTTATGAATCTGAATAATACAATTCTAACTTTCGGTTTGTCGATCGTATCACACATGTTCTACGACTGCATTTTTCCCTTTAAAAACCAGCGACGAATCTTTGCTCGAAAAATTCAATTTAAAACAAATAAATATAAACAAATAGTTATTACATATTTTTGAAAATATCGAAAGCCCGTATTGTTTTATATGGGGTAGAAAAAAGAGCATTTAAAACCTGTATAAATCTTCTTGAATCAACCCTTTTTTGAATAGTTAAAAAAAAGTTCTTATAACTTGTTTTTTTTTTTTTTTTAATATTAATAAAGAACACTTCTACAATTTCAAAAACGCATAGGTAAAAACTCAACGATATTTCTCGAGGGTATAATACTCGTACTGATAAAATATCTTATATTGTTAATTTAAAAAGTGTAGTGTCGAAATACCAAGCAAGGGGAGATAAATATTAAATAACATAGCTGGATATTGTACAAGTAAATAAATGAACACACAGTTTCTACTAAATGATTTATAACCAAATGCACATTTAATACAAACGAATTCGTACGCTTGGGATGTATAAATAACAGGACATGGGTAGTTAATTTTTTCACATAAAAAGATCCCCTAATTACAAATGTACTAAAAACTTGTTATTTTAAAACACAAATGATAAATTTGGATATCTATAACTCGTCTTGAGACTTTTTTCAATTCAACAAACTTTGATTTATTTAAAGATTTACCATTACACGATTTAACTATACAACTTTTAACTTTTTAAATGATCAATTAAATGAAAACCAAAAAAATAGTCAGTACGGTCCTAAAGAGCTGATTTCCAACAGGTGATGAACGTGATAACATCCAAAATTATAATTATTACCGGTGATTAGGAAGTAACTTTTCTCAAACCCATAACAATTTGTGACAAAGGAAAACATCAAATAACCCACGAAGCATTTGATTTGTATACAAATGTAAATTTGATAAAAGTGCAATAATCGAACATTATAACATTCAAGTAACACTCAACTGGCAATGCCATTATTTACAAACTTAAATTATTGTCGGATGAAAAATGTTCTGAACCTGATGGTTGGTGGCGAAAAAACTTGAAGTTTTAAATCTATATAGAAAAGATATTTTACTGAGAGAATACTATTTGACAACGGATAGGAAACCAGGTCACGGTTACACGGCAAGGCAGGATTTTCCTACGCCAGAGTACTTCGGACATAGTGCACAAAAAACAGACGCGCGTGCATACGAACCTAAAAACCTTACGGACGTTGTGTGGGTGAAGCTCCTTGGCCGCCAACGGGTCGAAGTACGAGGCGTGCACCTTGAGCGCGTTGGGAGACAGCAGGCTACAGGCCGTCCGCTCGTTGTCCACCAACAGGGCCAGAGCCAACCGCTGCGTCCGTTTCTCCAGCTCAGCGCACGTCCGGCACAAAGCTTCCGTGACGGCCGGTTCTACGGCTGGCGCGCGTCCAGCAGCCGCCAACACAGCGTCCAGCCTGGACATGACGTGGGCGCGTGCGTACCGCTCGCGGTGGCCGGTCACCACGTCCGCGACCGACACCTCGTAGCCGCCGTCGCCGCAATACTCGTCCACCGACGGCGTCCGCGGCTCGCGTCGCAACGCCCCGGCCACGGCGTCCAACACGCGGACGCCGTGCGCGAACACCGCGGCCGTCTCGCAGTCGACCACCGTGGATGGCCACTCGGCTCGGCGTTCGTCGTCCGCGGCGACGAACGTGTTCCGATACCGTTTGAACGGCAACCGTCCGACAGCCGCCATTGTCCGCACGAACCGGACCGCTTCGGCCAACGTGTCCGCGTACATGCGACCGGCCCCGTCCACAGTGTCCGCCGTCGGCACGTCGTTGACGTTCCGGAACATGGCGTACTCTTGAAAAGCCTTCGCGGACAAGTCGACGGTTAGGTCATCGTTGTCCGGCGCTTCCGGTCCCACGCCGCCGCCACAGTCATCATCGTCGTCGTCTTCCACGTCTTCAGTCGTTTTCCGTACCAGGTAGTTGTAGATGATCGACTCGATGTAATACGACGTGCCGCCCACCAGAACCGGTATTTTGCCCCTCGAGTAAATGTCTTGTATCTGAGAGAGTTAAGGACATTTCGTAGTGTTTTGAGTTCATGCGCAGAAACCATTTCCCCTGTAACAAAGTTTCTTAAAAAAAAAATTATCCTCGCAGCGCCCATAAGATCCTATTAAAAATCCACGGAGTCCAAGAAGCCAGGAATTCCAATCTTAAACCACAATTCATAAAAATAATGTACTAATGATCTGCTTTTTGCAATGTTTACTTGTTTATATTAACATTATTAATACTATAAGTTATTCAACAATGTCAAGAGTAATATCAACTAGATTTGAATTAATTTAAACGTGTTTGCGGAACTCTAAGGTTTCGCGGAAAACAATTTGAGAATTGTTCTCCTATACAACAGCGGTCAATAGTTCACGAGCCCAATTCATTCACAAGCGGTTTTACGTTTATTTATCAAATGGTTATTTCGATTAAATGGCTGAGTTATAGAAATAAAAACATCATAAACGCTTGGAAACCAATGGAATAAATGCGTTAAAGAATGTTAGCAAGCTGAACAGTATTCATTTTTTGTACGCAAAAATTAAACGAAAATTAACCCACGAAAGGTTTTAATTTATATTTTATGCAGTTATTTATAAAACAAATTATAGTTTACACTATTAATTTAATTAGTAAAAATAGTTATAATAACATAATGAATGAAACATTTAATTGCTGAATACATTATTATTATTTTGTAGGTACCTATATGATAATTATTTTTGACTAATTAAAAAGTTTTAGGATATTAAATTAGTTTATCAAAAAATAATAATAATATTCCATTAAATAGACTTCATACCAAATTATAAGCGAAAATAAATTGATAAATTAATAAAACACAAGAGTAACTTATAACATGAAACATGTCATCTATTATAATAATATATTATGAAATTCAATTGCTTATGACAATAATGAAACTTTAATCGCAATTAAATAAAACAGTGATTGCTACACATGGGCTATTGCGTAAGTTAATACATTTTAAACAAAATTAAATGAAAATTATGTGCATAAATTAAGTTAATTACAAAAATTATAATATAATTTTTATTATATTGTAGTACATAGTTATTCTACATAGGAAATTTTTTTCCGGATAATTTATACTTTATTATTAAAAATTATAATAAAAAAAGTTTATCTAAATGCACGTCAACATTAGCTTTGACTCAACGTTGACTTTGTTTACGGTAAAATATTTTAGAAACCCTTAGAGCAAAGAACCAAACCCCATATGGTTCATTTAATGATGTGTGAAGGCAACTTGGACATGAATGTACATGAGTTGTATGTTATGGTTGCCGGAAACGAAACGACCACCGGAAGAACGTTCGAGTCATCTTAAGTACGATACTTGTATAATACTTTTGGACTTGCAACAATCGAAAGATTTATATTATACACTACAATAACCTTAGGAATTTAAAAAAAAAAAAACATCTTTATGAAATCACTCGGTATTTTCTTTTTCTAGTCTCACAGCAAATAAAAAAATAATAAAAAAAGTAATTTTTATGTTTTCTTTCGCTCGTTAATTATCATTCGATAAATGATAATTTTATCAATTAATATTTTAAAATCCCTCACTATCCAATTCAATGTTTAGAATAAAAATGTAAAAAAGAAAAAAAGGTCTTTTTTGTAGTCAAAGTTTAGTTCAAATCACGGTATTTCGTAAAACAAGGTGGTCCAACCTTTTGTGGTTCGCGGGCCAATTTACACTTTCTTAAACACACCGGGGGCCGCCAGAAAAAAAAAATTATATTTTGTCTATTTATATTTTATTTTATAATTTTGTATTATGCGCACACAATTACATTATAGTGTAAGTTATTTACAATTAAAATTAATTAGAATTTAGAATTAGTTAATTAATTAATGTGATGATTGACATTGTTTTTCATTAGCCAAGTTTTCGAAATCAATTGAACACACTGTGGTGGCTAACTTAATGCACGATTCTAAAGAGAATTTAGGAAACGATTTCTTGATTTGGACTTTATTAAATTCATCATAGAAAAGGCCGATTCACCAATATACGTACTTCCAAATAATGACAAAATTTCAAGAGAAAAATTTCGTAATGCTGGGAATTTTTCTTCCGAACACCGTTTCCAAAACTCTTCAGGAGGCAAATTTAATTTTGATTGAAGAAAACAGTCTGCTTGTAAATCACATATCTCCATTTGAAAATCGGAAGGTTGTTTCAAGATATCAACTGTCATTGGGTTGTTAAATAATTCAAATTTAGGTTTCAATACATTAAAATCTTTAAATCGTGAATTAAATTATATTATTAGGTAGTTCTTTGATCATTTTTTTTAAATTCAATAAAGCAAATCGATTGATTTTCAATTTTTTTAATTTCTTGACATGACGGAAAATATGTAATGTCATTGTTTTCTAATGCGTTTTTAAATATTTCTAATTTTTTCCGAAAACATTCAATATTACTATACAGTTGACATATATTTTGTCCTCTTCCTTGCAGTTTTAAATTTAAAATATTTAAATGAGATGTCATATCAGTAAAAAAAGCAAGAGACTTCACGAATTAAATACTTTGTAAGTCTTCAAAAAACTATTGTCCAATATTTTTAGATTTAAGAAATTCAAAAATTTCACTTATCAATGCAAAAAAAAATGTCAAACAATTTCCTGCACTCAGCCATCTTACTTCACAGTGTAACGGAATAATCACCATACTCACTCTCCATTTCTTCTAAAAATCTAATAAATGTCTTTGAGCTTTATTACCACCACGAATATAATTAACAATGCTTATTACTTTTTTCATAGTTTTATTAATTTTAACAAACTTGCCACAAAGCGCTTCTTGGTGAATAATCCAATGAATAAAGAAACATTTTAGCCCTATTTGCTTTAAATTTCCTACTATACCAGTTGCATGCCAATCATAGCTGGCGTACCATCAGTAATTATACCAGTGCATTTGTTAAACGAACCAAAGTCTAAAATCATTTTTCAATTAATCAAATATATCTATACCCTTTTTCCAGTAATTAATGATTTTATTTGAAGTAATTTTTCATGTATATTAAAATCTTATGACGGGAACTCCCGTCATATTCTTACGTTTTATAGCATTGCCATAAACTATAAATATAAAATGTAAAATTTATACGATCATATCACGGATTTTGTTAAAATATTATTGTGACTTTAATTATTAATTAATAAAATAAAAAATTAATTTAACTTTGGGAGGCCAAAAAAAAAGGCATCGAGGGCCGCATGCGGCCCGTGGCCCGCGAGTTGGACCATCCTGTCGTAAAATATAAAAAGTGATGAACATTGTCAATTTCACATCAGATTATGTTTATTCTAATAGCGATTGAAGTTACACATTAATTATAACCATTGAATTAAATAAATTATTCGACAAACTTTTTGTCTATTTTACTTTACAGTAAATTTAAAAAAATTCAGTAAAAACAGTAAATTTAAATTCATCGAATTTAAACACAACAAGAATATAACGTAACAAAAACATTATAAATTCTTATTTATAAAAAAAAAATGTTTATGATAAATTATAATCATTATACGATGTTCATATTTAATGAAATAAATCATACATCGTGTATAGGTTTAGAAATAAGTAATTTACAATATACAAAACAGTTAACAATAAGTACACAAAACGATATTCAGATACATTTCTACGTTATGGAGTTCCAAGAATAACATTTTTCAAATACATCCATACTTAATTAGTAAGTCAGTACCATGAAATACAACACGTAAATATTATGGGGGAAAAAAACAAAATATATACGTGACAAAATGTAATTACAACAATCGATTTAAAATAATTACATAGGAAAAGAAATATTATTTACACTTGATGTTGAAAATTAAAGGGGCCATTAAAAGTTTAAATACTGATTCAACCGTTTTAACAAATTTATTCTACCTTTTCATGGTAAGACTTGAACCCACTTTCATTCTTTTCGCCGCCACTTAATGTCGCCTCAGGAAATACTACCACCGCACTGCGTCAGTAGCACTTCCATTATTTCACTGTTCAGAACTTCAACTGTTACATATGCTACTTCGGAACCCCCTATCTAAAGCCGCTGCGTTACTCAATTAGAAAGAACAAAAACGTTTCTAATGAAACACATAATAATGTTAGTAGCATGTTATACTTACGTTGGTGAAAAATGTGAAAAAAAAACAGTATACAATTATTATCACCGTAAAGCGTGTCTAACAAAAGAACTTCATTAGAAAACTGATTTTTGACCAAGAACAAGAGGTTCTTAATCAGTGGGGGGGGCCAAAGACCCAGACGTCTTTTTTTTTCGGTTCCACCAGTTACGAACAAGAATCATGCATACGAAAAGGATACGATTTTTAAAGCTTCGTCTCTGTACCCGTGTACGTTGCATTCGACGCCTAAGTCCACGGTACCCATCATGTGGTGCGGAACTCCATCGGTCTCTTCCTCTGTCGCCTTGTTGGTGGCCACGTCCAAGCCTTTATATACCTGCAAGCAAACACGTCAACCTATCAGCAATACGCAATAACGTTTCTACCGCGATTCGTTTATTTTTTCACCCTTCCGTCGCAACATCGGTACATTATATATAGTATATATATATATATATATATTAAATTTCCTGAAAATAAACGCGTCTATGCGGCTATACTATATTGCGTACGGACAAAGTACGTCCAGTAGTAAGTCGTGCGAAAACAAGGTCTTATGTACGAATACGCACGCGCGTAAAAACTCAACAGTAGTAACAATGGTCGTAAGAAATAAAAACACCCCAAGCGTTAAAAAACAAAAAAAAAAAAAGATGGACAGACGATACAGGGAAGGTTTGAGTTAGGTTGTAGCAATGCAGAAAAATACAATGCAGCAATGAAAACGGGCTGATGGAAGGAGGGTGATATGCGCATAATACTATATTGATCCGTCTGGGGAAGACATTATGTGCGTGCGCGTAAACGTGCGTTTGTGTGCGGTGTCTGGCTGTCGGCGTATAGACGGCGGCCACCGCCACCGCAGACTTGTTGCGTTACAGTTGGCCATTGCTTGAGTTACGCCGTGATATTTACCGACTGCACTCTGCTACCTATCTCCGTTCATCCAACTGTGAGGTAGGTTAGGAGGTGACAAAAATTTTAAACATCCCCATCCGTACCACCCATATTGCCGTTTTGTTTTGTTTACCCCATGGTAAGTAAATCTTCGGTATTTGTTTAAACCGCACACGGCAACTATTATTATTTACTCCTTCCGTCGTGTTCATCAAGTAAACATTTTTTTAACGTCGACTAAACTTCTATACACTAACGGGTCATTCATTATTAATGCATGTGTTTATATATATATATATACGTGAGAAATAAAAATACGCTTAGAATAATCATCAATGCCACACATAACATTTCCACAGGTTTGTAAAAAACTATTTACTCGACTGATAAAATAAACGAATAAATGTATAATACTTAAGGCTGTAAAAATATAAATCAAACAATAACTTCTCACTTCGATTTCATAAGTATTTTCGTTCTAAATTCAATAGATTTTAGCTACAAAGTAATACATACACTCTATCCATTCAAATTGTCATTTCATAGTTGTAAAAATTAGACAAAGAGTCTATTCCTGTACTGGTTTCAGTTGTTTATAAATTATGTTGAAAATATTTTTAGGTATTGTAAATTATTAATGTTTGCTGATGATGTAAAATTATATATGCCTATTTATTCAGTTGAAAATTGTATTAAATTACTAATAGATTTAAACACATTTAGTTTATGGTGTTCAAATAATAGTTTAGTTATAAATACTGAGAAATGCTAACAAATTTCCTTTTCTCGAAGTTATTCAAAATTAAAATATCAATATAAAATAATTTAGAATCAAAGGTATACTAAAAGATTTAGGTATATGGTTATCAAATGATTTATCTTTTAACCAAATCATAACTACAACCTGTAACAAAGCTACTTATATACTTGGATTTATAAGACAAAATTGTAATTCATTTAAAAATATATCTTTTTTAAAATATAATATTTTCCCTTGTTCGCTCTAATCTTGAATTTGGTTCAGTTATTTAAAATCATCAAATAGGTTTGATTAACAAAATAGAACAACTTCAAAACCGGTTTCTTCAGTACTTACATTCAAGTTAAAATACATTTTTCTCTTGATCAATTAGTTCATTTTGATATTGAAACTTAAAAGCAAAAGATTTAATGTAATCTAATAATTGAATTTAATCTTGGTTACATAAATTATTAAATTGACAAAGTGATTGTCCTAAAATACTAAGTCGAATACTCCAAAATGTTCTCTCAATTAATACATGTGCAATACATTAATTTTATATATCATACCTATCGCCGAAACCACAGTAAATTTGCTCCACAAAATATAATGATAATTTAAGTAATTTAATAGATAATTTTGTTTATTTTTTATGACTATTTAGCTATGTTAAAATTACTATTAAATACAGTAATTTATTGTATTGTATAATTAATCATTGAATTATATCATATTGTATTGCATAGTTATTTACTTTAATTGTATATTAGTAACAAATTACTATCTTAATTAACTTGTATTTAAATTTAAACACAATAAATATTGAGCCTAATTAAGCGCATATTGTTATATTATATTACATTAATATCTATTATAAGTATATTAAATAAATAAAAATTTAATAAAATTTAAAAAAAAAATTTAAAAAAATGTAAAATAAAGTTTTATAAAATCGTGTTTAATAGCATTTTCTACTTTTAAATACATAAAAACATGTATATACGTTTATATATCAGAATATAATACGCGTTGTATGTGTATAAAATCGAATTTCATCAAGCCGACGGTTTCTAATGGTTAGGAAGCACAATTTTTCCGCTGACGCCCACATGAAATACGTAAAATATTTTACTTATTTAAAATAGTTTCCCACGATGTGTATAAATAGTTTGAATTGATAGACAGGATAATATTTAGAACATATATTAACACTACATAAACGTTGAAAATATAGATTGATGTAGAGAATATAGGGTTACAAATAATATTATCTGTACTTAAAAACATCAGAAAGATCAGTTACTAAATCGGTTATGTTTGAAGTTGTATTTATAATTTTCAAAATCTTATTTTTAATTATTTTCAGATCGTGAAAAACGGTTCATGATTTAGTGTGATTTTTTTTTAACATAGAATATATCAATTTCTACCGATTAAAGAGATATCAGTATCAATTGAAATACCGATGGTTATTAACAACACATACTTGTGATGTACCAATAAATTTTTATAGACTACAAAAATAAAAAATATTATTCAAGTAATAATAAAAATATAAAAATATGTCATACATTCTATTTTAATTATTGAACACGAATTAAAAACAACATATTAAATACATTTAATAAAATCTTTTTGTACAGTACATAGCAGTACGTTAAAAAAAATAATGGGACAATAATAGGTTGGCACGCAAGCTATAAAAAATATAATATTACGAGTACACACTGGATAACCATGTAGAATATAGTTTGTTGTACATCGTAGTATTGGACTGTTATACTTGGAAATTCCTAAAGGGAATCCATATCTTTATACGATCTAAATTATTATAAGACTGTTTATTAAATTACTATCAGTAATGCAGATGATTTACGCGAGACGTTTATCAAATCAAAGAATAATATATATTGCTGTGTACGATTGTATACAAGATGTTAATGTACAATGATACTTAAAAAAGCTCTGAAAAGGTTGAAAAAATCCAATAATCGACTGCGTGAGATTATTTTAGGCCTTATTATTATTCAAGCATATAGGATTAACAATATAAAATTAAAAAAAGAACAATGTCTTTCAAGATTATAATAAAAGAAATTAATTTTCAATTTTTGTACCAAGTGCATAAGTATATGAAATATTCGGGGAAAATTAAGACTAATGAAAATGTATCAAGTACTGAGATAGTGTCCGTTACGACTGTATGTACGTATGATGTATGACTATATACATACGTACTTAATACTCAGTACTTAAGTTGTGATACGACTTGTGCGGTTTCGAAACATAAATATAATTTATTCAACCTATAAGTCAAATAAATATTTTAAGCGACTAATTTATGAACGTGAGTTTGTGAAACGCAACACATTTACATAGCGCAACTGATTAAATGTTTTATCATTAATTAGTTATAATAACAAGGAACCCTCGCGTAATCATCACCGTATATGATTCTGTTACGCACGCATAATTTAATAAATGTTTCTGCGTTTCGCGATACATTCAACTTTTACAGTTTACAGAAATGGAAACGCGTATTATCAAGCAGTACACATCGACATACGGAGTCGAATAGTGCACACGTTCAACGTTTACAACATATTATATTAAACGAAACTAACTGCAGTAAGTCGTAAATTGAAAACAAATTATACTCGGAACGATTTAAATACGCGCGCGCACATACACACAAATATCAGGACAAAATAATATTAAACATGCAGCTAAATTTATTTTAAATATTAACTCTTTGAAAGTCGAGTGTATGCAACACTTCGGTAACACGGTTTTTTATTGGTTAAACAGTTGCCGTATATTATATTTAAAAACGGAACGTGCTCTAGAAAATGCATTTCACACAGCAACAAAGTGTAAAAAACAAGTCTCGCAGGAAAAGATAAGAACGCGCTTGTAATAATGTAATTTTACCAGTCGCATACTGGAGTATTACGGTGCGCGAGACGTTAACGAGTGTTGATGCTGTGGCGCGCGGGAGTCTATGAAATAAATTCGAAGGAACGCCATACGTTTCGCCTTGATCTAGGTCGGTCTCGTTATTGCCAGGAGGATAAGGATTGGTGGAAGGGGAATGCCACGAAACGCCACCATCTGTTTGTATTTTTTATTATTTACAACCGGTAAAAAAAAAAATGAAGGAAGAAAAGAAACAAATAAAAGAACTATCGGTCGGAGACGGCGGCGGCATTGATTTTTTCTTACAGCGACTATAGCAGATTCGTCGTTGTACATGACGATGAGGGTTAAGGTCACCGTAAGTAATTAGTACGGTCACTAGCAACAGACACAACTCATCGACGGCAGAATATATGTATTGCCAGTTGTGGGTACATTTTATTTTTACTGACAAATCGTCTTCAACGAGTAATTTTTATTGGACCCTTGGACTCATGTATTACAATACAATAGCGATTATTAGGATAGTAATAAAAAAATTCGCTAATCAGCTCTAGTTATAAAATATCTCAAAAAATATCGTTAACTCGCACCTGAAAAAATGGCGTCAATTTTAAGACTAACGATCCAAACAATTTTTATACGAAAATAAAAATATATACGGCTTGTAATAACGTAATTGATAAGTATACGAATGCAAGTATGCTGCCTAGTTCTTTAGCCGCAAAGTTTGAACGTACTCGATTTTGCGAAATTAATCTAATAGTGTATACTAGCAGATA